TAGCCGAGGGCCTGGATCCCATGGGAGTTTCTTGGTCACTCACCTGTGTGTGCTGGTGAAATTTGCTGCCAGGCTGCAGCATCCTCTGTGTGGAGGAAGGCGGAAGAGGCAAGGGGCCTTACATCCCAAATCTATCCTGTGTGGCTTGAGTTAGCCGCACTTTTGCAGTCCATCAGTTTCTTGGAGACCTCCCAGTATGGTGATTCTTGTTCCACATACAGGTGGCAGTGTGACCAGCAGCCCTGTGGGCTGATTTGCCATTGTATAAGTCCTAAGTCTATGGTTTGTTTGATATACAAGTCTTTTATTTCAGACTGATGTTGGTATCAGGATTTATTTCCTTCCCTTTCGTCCAATTACCTGTGGTTTTAGTTGATTTTCTCTGAGTAGCTCCAATGTTTTTCCTCCTCTATTTAGCCATTTTTTTTTTTTTTTTGTACCAGGGATCCAACTTGGGACCTTGTGTTTGCAAGGCAGGTGCTGGAACCACTGAACTAAATCTCTGGCCCCTCAGCCATGTTGAATCTTGCTTGTTTTCACATTTTTAAATGAATTTTTAAAAATACAGGGACAGGGGCAAATTACATGAAATTAAAAATCTTAGTGTCCAGGCCGGGGATTTAGCTCGGTGGTTTCGCCACCTGCCTTGCAGGTACAAGGAACAGAGTTTGATCCCCAGTACCAAAAAAAAAAAAAAAAATCTTAGTGTCTGATTAAACACTTTTTTGGAACATAACCACCTTTGTTAATATATTATCTGAAGCTGCATTTGCAAAGCTAAGTAGTTGCAACAGAAAGAGTGTGGGTCACACAAACTGAAATATTTATTATTTGAATCTTTATAGAAAAAGTTGGCAAATCCCTGGGCTAGGTACCAGGGACATAACTTCATAATGCTCAGGAGCAGCAACTGGCTCTTTTCTAATACAAAAATATAAAAATGACAAATTTCCTATGATGAATGTTATCATTATGTATTTCTAAAATGTATCAATGATTTGCTTCAAAAAATATATAAACATGGTAGGCCTCTTACACCAAGGCTTTCATTTTAACCTTCTCTCCATTTCCCAGTGTAAAGGGGTGGACGACAACTGAAGTTCAAAGACTCATAGGAGTTTCCTACAAAGAAAATTATTAACAGCAATACAGACTTAAACTTAAGAGGTCTTCCTACTCTTGGTCAGAAGCTTCGTGAATATTCATTCCCACTCAGTCCTGATATGTGTGCTAAAGTATAGCAATATCTTGAACAAAGTACTTTCTTCTTATTGGTAGCATGAAGGATTTGGATTTATAAACTGTACAAAGTACTTTTTTTTGGTACCAGGGATCGAACTCAGGACCTTGTGCTTGCAAGGCAGACATGATGCCACTGAGCTAAATCCCCAGCCCCTATACAGTATTCTTTTTAACTCCAATGTGCTTTACATTTTACATGAGAGGATACCTAGCTCTACAGCAATATGGACATGAGACATGGAGTTAGAAGATCTGAATTCTAGCTCCTGCTGCTTACTGTTTGCCCTTGCACAACTTTTGGCTTCAGGTTTCATCTGCAAAATGAATTTACCTAATAGTAACTACATCACTATGTCAGTGAGACTATAGCTATGATAGGGCTCAACAAAAAAAACACTGGACTATTTGAAGGACTATTAATAATAAATTATTAATAATAATACTTCTGTGATAATCTGTAATGTCCCATTCTGCCTTCCATGCTGGGAAGGAAAAGGTAGACACTGTATAAAAGAAGGTAATAGGAACTGAAAGAAGGGAAAAGAGAAGCAGATGGAAAGAGGGGAAGAAGTTACAAATGGGAATAGAAGTGGAGGAAAGAAGGCAATAAAAAGGAAGAAAAAAAGAAAACAGGCTAGGAAGGAGAGAGGGCAGAGTGAGATGGGAAGGAGGCCAGGACAGGTATGGTGAAAGAAGAAAGGAGAAGTTAAAGGAGAGAGAGAGACTAGTCAGCCATAGGGCTAGAATGCTATCTTCTTGTCCTGTTTGCTATCACTTACCAACCTCCTGGTCACTCTGCCCTCAACAACTTAGTCTCTATGCCATAGTTTCTCTTTACTGCAGTATCTGATTTAACTTCTACCTGGATGATACATTTAACACCCTGGCCTTTCGGTTCTAACAAGGCATATACTCTTCCTCAGCCTTCTGTTCTCAGTCTCATCTTACCTAGGCTTACCCTGGATCTGGGCATCATAGCAACTCACAACCCCTGAAATTTCAATTCTAAATAGCCTACACTTAGACCAGTAGCATCTGTATTGCCAACTCACTTGTTCAAATATTCCACTGCAACCATTGTCCAGTCAATGCTCCAGTAATACCTTGGTCCTTTTCTCTGCCATCCCGAAGTCTATATATGTGACTGCTTGGTTTTCTGTATGGTTTTGATTCTATACAGATCATCATAAACATTCTTAATGGGCCTGGTGACCTACACCTGTAATCCCAGCACATGGGAGGCTGAGGCAGGATTGAGAATTCCAGACCAGCCTGGGCTACACAGTGAGATCCTGTCTCAAAAAACAAAACAAAATTTTCTTGCAAATACCTTCAACTTTCTTGGCTTTCTCTTTGTTGTACTTGCTAGTAAAACTCATGTTAAATGAACTGAATCTGCTCTCTCTGCCTGCACCTGAATAGCCAAACATCTTCAATTATTTTATTTTATTAACTGTTTTATTTTTGGAGGACTGGGAATTGTACAGAGCTACATCCCTGAACTTTTTTTAAACAGGTTTTCAGTAAGTTGCCAGGTTGCTCAAGCTGGGCTTGAACCCATGATTCTCTTGCCTCAGCCTCCAAGAGTGCTGAGAATACAAGGAAAAGCCATCGTGCCTGGCTAAATTCAATTATTTTAAATACATCACCTCATGTAACAAGTGGGCTCTTAACATTAACCATAAGTTTTATGATTAGCTTTCTTTAGAAAATGACTTTTCCACTCAGAAGTTATCAGTTTAATTGTAACTTTTCTTTCCTCAAGCATCCTACTCCCTTTTTTTCTCCTTATCCTCAGATGCTGCTGCCTTTTCTGTACTGAGAAAATAAGTTATTGGATAGGGTACTTCTCCTTATCTTCAACAACCTTCAAACCTTCCTGCAACTCCTATTACAAATAAATGTTTTCCTCTTGAAGACCTTCTGCAAAGCCAGGCATGGTGGTGCATGACTGTAATCCCAGGATTTAGGAGGCTGTGGCAGGAGGATCCCTACAAGTTTGAATCCAGCCTGTTCTACATAGTGATTTCAAGACTAGCCTGAACTAGTGAACAGTGAGACCTTGTCTCAAAAAAACATTTTATGTTGCCTCATATTCTTTGAAACACATCTGATTTCTCTTTTCAAGAAGTTGACCCTCTCCTTCACTATCAAATCATTTGCAGGAATTTAAATACAAGCTCTAGTATAGCACTGCCCGATAGAATGAAAAGTTGTTTGCACCCTGTCCAATACAGTTGTCACTAGCTATGTTACTCTTGAGCACTTGAAATGCAGTCACTATGCCTGACTCAACTTTTAATTTTATTTAATGCAATTAATTTAAATAGCCACATGTGGCTACTGGTTACCATCTTGGACAGCATGGCTCCTACGTCCTATCCTTAATACACTTTCCTTGAGTCCATTCTCTCTTTCTGTTTTCACTCATCTCCTATCCACTCCTCTTTCAATAGTTTCAAATTAAATATAGCGTGTGATCTGCTTTGGGCAAGATCAGTGTTGGCTTGTTGCCAAAGTCATTTCATCGGTTTTCAATACTTTAACACTACACAACTCTACTGCAAATACTGTCTTCTCTTGGAGGGGGGCACTGCTTTCTCCTGGTTTTCCTCCACCTCTTTGACTCCTTCTCAGGCTCTTCCTCTTTTCTCCATCTTTAAAAGGTTTCTGTTCAAAGTCATGCCTGACTTAAGTGGGATCTTCACAAGCAAACAGGCCAAACAAGCTACTTTCAGCAAACGACAGGATATTTCTCAGTAAACAGAAGAAAATCTCTCCGGTAAGGAAAAGTCAAGTGATTGTCTACATATCTGTGCTGACTGTCCTTGGACTCAGTCATAAACATTTCACCCCAGATTTCTTAGTCCCTTCAATACTTGTAGAAGCCTAATTCCTTTCCCAATTAACTGCTAATGTCTGTTAGTCCATCCACCCACAGATGAAATCCCTCCCAGTTGTTATTTCTCTCAATGTCAGCCCATCCACACAAAGATGTAATAAACTCGGCTTTTCCCACCCACGTGTTAGACTTTATCCCTGACTTTAGTCCCTGTTCACTGGAATAAACTTTTCTTTCCTCACAAAAGCCTATCTCCAGCAAATGGTTTCACGTGTACCGTTTATAACAGCGTTCAACAAGGCTCAGTTCTTTGGACTCTTTTTTTTCTCCCTTAAGCTTTACTACCATAATAAAGGGGGCAGGAAAATGGAGTTACAATTAAGGGCTTTCCACTGCAATTAGAATATGACCCAAATTCCTTTCTATAACCAAAAGGCCTGACTGACGAGCTCCCTTGGCTCTTCACTCTCCATTCTCTCACTTCACGCAGCCCTGATCTCACGGGCCTTCCGCGCTTTCCTCCCTTGGTGGGGCACTCTATTCAGTCTTTTCCTGGTTTGGGTCTTTCCTATCCTTACGTTTTGGCTTAAATATCACCTCTGAAGAGGCCTCCGGTGACTACCGGAGTTATATGCTCCTTGTTTTTCCTTGGTTTGTGCCTATTTATGCAGACCGTCTCCTCCAGGAGCGGAAACTCCACGCGAGTACAAGGGCTTTGTCGCTGCCGGGTGTCTCGAGTCAGCCTCTGGCCACGCTCCGGATCCGTGGTGGCCTTGGACGAAGGGCTCCAGGCCTAAAGTCATCAGCTGCGCCCCACTCCTCCCCTCCCAGGCTGTCACGGAACGGGTAAGGCGGAAGGAACCCGCGCAGAGGAGCGATGCGGCATACCGGCGGTGACGTACACACTTGGCGGAGGCTCCGCCCCTTCCGGCCCCGGCGGTCGCGGGCTACTCCGCGGCGGGGTCCGGAGCCCGCTCGGCCCGCCCCTTTTCCCGCGCTGTCAGAGACGTAGTGTATGTTGAGCTGCTGCCGCTGCCGGCTGCTGCAAGTCCTGGGCCCGAGCTTCCCGCTGCTGACCTGCCGGCCGCTTCTCTGCGTTCCTCGCCTCATGAAGCCGCTGGTCGTGTTCGTCCTCGGCGGTCCCGGCGCTGGCAAGGGGACCCAATGCGCCCGCATCGTGGAGGTGAGGCCGGGCGGCGACGGCTTGCTGAGCTGGACGGGACGCGGCCGGCCCGAGCCGCCGCGCTGGCGGTCCGCGCCCCTCACCCCCGCCGCGGACTACGCGTCCCGGCGGCCACCGCGCCGCTCGCGAGGCGGAGGCCGAGGGGCGACGGCGCACTGCGTCTCAGGGCGCGGAGCCCGGGGCCACCTCCGCGGGGGACCCACTCGGGGTTGCTTTGTTCCCGCGCCACCTCTTTCTAAACGTTTTGGGGACCAGATGCGACCAAGGAGTGGACTGGGAGAGGGGACCGGGACGTTCAGCCTCGGAGCCCTGCGCACGGAGATCGGTGCAGCCGGTGGCGTGGAGGGTGAGGGCAGAGGCGCCCAGGTTTTGGCTTGACGTCGTGTGCGGCTGCTCGAGACAACTTTTTTTTCTTTCCGCACGGCCTAAACTCCCGGTTCTCACCTGATCCGTGTGTACCTTGGAAAGCTTCCCGAGGGGCGGGGTGTAACATTCAGTCCCTAAGAGCTGCGGAGCGCTCTCTGCCTAGTCCACGCAGGCCCCTGGGCAGGGCCAGCCTGAGGCGTTGTGATGCTTGACGAGGGATGTTGTCCTAAGCCCCAGCTTCAACCTTTGACTTTGCTGCCAACTCTTGCTTTATCCTCTGGCTAGTCACTTCCTCTCTCTGAGCCAACAGTGTCCCTTCTAAAAAAATAAGAGGCTCTGTACCCAGATTGAGAGTATCAAACACTTCCTAATTTTAAATCCTGTTACATTTTTAATTCCTTTTTTTTTTTTTTTTGTAATGTCTGATAAGTTTACCAGTTCAGTTCTGTTAGCATTTTTCCGTCTAGGATGATTGATGATACATGGTTAGCTGTAGTGATGCTGTGAGGAAGGCTTAATGGACAATCTGGGGAAAGTTCTTTTTAAATTAAATTTTATTTTATTTTGTCCCATTCACACCCTCAATCCCTCTACGTTTGGAAGGGCAACGAGAGGCCTATAAACTGGAGAGACAGCGGTAGTGGTATAAAACTCGCAGAGAATACGGTGAAACTCGGTGACCAGATTTTGTTGTTGGCCTGGCATGGTGGTGCGCACATGTAATTCCAGCACTTTTGATTTTGTTTTTGTTTTTTGATACCGGGGATCGAACTCAGGACCTTACACTTTCGAGGCAGGTGGCAGCACCACTGAGCTAAATCCCCATCCCATCCCAGCGCTTTTGTAGGCAGAGCCAGGAAGATCACAAGTTTAAGCCCAGCCTGAGTAATTTAGCGATTTAGAGAGACCGTGTTTCAAAAAATTAAATAAATGAATAGCTGGGGATGTAGCTTAGTGTGAAGGCTCTGGGTTCAATCCCTAGTACCGAAGAAAAAAAAGGGGTTTTGACTTAGAACTAGAACTAAAATAACTTTCTCCTATGGCTTATATTCACTTTAGGATTTTAATTCTCTCCTTCTGTGCTCATTCAGTCAACTCTTGACCAATATTTTATCCTTGAAAGAGCATCCAAAAAAGAATGTGTTCTAAAAGTCATGTATTCTACTACTGTATGTATAATTATCGATTTTTTTTAGGAACTGATTCACCCCAAAATACATACCATCTTCTCATCTTAATTAAAAAATTTTTTTCGCTTTTTAAAAGACAAATGACAAGTGGATGATTTCATGTTTTTGTTTTATATATGAAATAACTTACATAAAAAGAGCATTATAGGGGAAGGAGCAAAGGTTTAGAGTTAAACATATGTGTTCAAATCCTGACTGCCATTACTGTTTCTCTGGCCCCAGAGAAGTTTCATTTTGCTTAGTTCCTTTGTAAAATGCAGAAAATAGAAATGACTGTTTCAGCCATTCCTAGTGGTACAGCTTGATTGCTGTGAGTTTGAGGCCAACCTGAGCTCACAGTGAGTTCAAGACGAGCCTGAACTACATACAATGAGACCTTGTTTCAAAACACCAAAAAACTTGATCTTTTAAAAATATATATATTATTTTATTTTTGTTTTGAAACATGGTCTCCCTGTGTAGTTGAAGAGCCGTAAGCCGTAAACCCGATGTGACCGTTTTGCTTCAGCCTCCCAAGTGCTGAGATTACAGGCATACACCGCCACTCTCAGCTCTTGCTTTCTGATTCTAAATCTGTACTAAATTTGTTCTGGAAAATAAACTGTTTTCTAAATAAGTGCAATACTTTAGTAGAGTGAAGTGTTGAGAGTGGAATTATTATTTATGATATTTATTATTATTATTTATAATTATTATTTATGGAATGACTTCTTAAAAAATCATGAGGATGCTGTGTCATTTTTGAATTTTTAAAATTAAGCTTTAGGAGCTGGGTATTTAGCTCAGTGGTGCCGCCACCTGCCTAGAAAGCACGAGGTCCAGAGTTTGATCCCCGGTACCAAAAAATAAAATTAAGCATTAGGTATTGGTATTTATTGTTTTGGCCTAGGAGAAATTATGGCACTGTAACCTTATCTTTGAAAATAACCTCCACAATTTTGCATGTGTTAGTTGAAGGAATATTTAAGCCTCCTCTTTTACAGATTGTGAATATGTTGGCTTACATAAACAAATTACGGCTAAAGCTGATACCCATGCCCAATTGCTTTCCATGGCACCCAGAAAGCATGCTGATTATCTGTGTTATTACTTCTTCCTACACCTCTATAGGTAACTCATATTTTGTATGGCCATCCTCAGCAAAGCTTTGGTTGGTATTTGACTTAAAGCATATAGAAATCAGAAACTTCATTTTATTTAACTTTGTATATCCATTATTGAACATTGTGCCCGGCACATTGTAGGTGCTTAGTAAGTGTGCATTGAATGAATATTGATTTTAAAATATTAATTTGATCCTGAAGATGCATAAATTTTAAAAATTTGATCCCTAGGGGGCGTCCAAGTAGCACTTAGCTCTCAATTTCTGGACCAGAAGTATGAATGAGAGCTGCCTTTCTCAGGTTTCTCATTTAACACTTCTGTTTACTCTCAGTAATTAATGGTATGTTGACCAGATTTCCCCCCAAAACAGATTAGCACTTGAAAACAAGATGTGAAAAATCCATTGGATGTTAACGTCCAGTGTTTCCAGAATAGGAATATTTGATCTTGGTGTGATAAGGTGAAATAACAATTGTTGTTTTTGTTTGTTTTAAGAAAATTTAGATTATCTGTAAAATAGATGGTCCACAGAATTCTCCACTCTTCTGAAGCCTCACTGTCCATTAAGGGTGCTTGTGATGTGGATTTTTATGTTGAGAGCATGCAGGAGGGGGGAGCATCTTCAGATTACTGTATTTACTGTTCTTTTTTAAAAGTGTCATTTTCGCCTTTCCATTCTAAGTTACAAAAATAATACAGGACTGTTGGGAAAAGTTAAATCTATTCAAATCCTGAGGTCACCAGTATTAACTTCTTGCTTCATATCTTTCTCAATTATTTATTTATTTATTTATTTTTTGAGACAGGGTCTTGCTGTATAGTTCAGGCTGCCCTTGAACTCACTGTGGAGCTCAGGCTGGTCTCAAACTCACTGTGATCCCCCTGCCTCAGCCTCTCAAGTGCTGGGATTACAGGTGTGTGCCACCATGCCCAGCTCTCAGTATTCTTCTTTTATTTTTTTTATTTTTACCTTTTTTAGCTCTCAGTATTCTTATAAACAAAATACAGGGTTTTTTTTACCTTTACAAAGAATTATTATTATTATTACTTGACTAAATATATCATCGATCTCTTTGCAGGTCTTTACCTATAAATTTAATTTTTTTTTTTTTTTTTTTGGTACCAGGGATCGAACCCGGGTCCTTGAGCTTGTATAGCAGGCATTGAAACCACTGAGCTAAATCCCTGGCCCTTAATTCTTTTTTTTTTATTGATGCAGAATATTGTGGATATTACCATAGCATGGTTTTAAATCCAGGGTTGCTAATCCCTTTTGATAGATATTTAAGACAGTTTTGGGGGATTATTTTGCTATTGTAATAGCACTTCAACAAATTCCCTCACATCACTAGGAAGCTGGGTCCTGATGCTGCAAGGCTTTTCTTACGTCTTTTGTGTTTTGATGAAAGAGTTGAGTCAAAATATACAGGCTGCCTTGCAGAATAAGCACTTTATTGTAAAGGAATACAGAGAGAGTTATGCCTTCAGAGAAAGCAGATAGTGTCACATAGGACTCTGCATTCCATACAAGTTGGATATCTTTATATGTACATCAGTTAGTCCTGGGGATCAGAGAACTGTGGTGATTGTGGCGCTTACATTTTTCTTAGAAGTTACTCTGGAATTGCAAAATGTCTAACTTGTTCTTTTCAGATGATCACTGTTCCCTCAGTGTTCTTAGTCATGTAAAAAATTTAGTTATGAAAAAAAAAGTTCTAGTTAAATCAGATCTCATTCCAAGGTGAAGTGGACCTTAAAGAAGGTTTCTCTTTCTGATATCCTTGGGCGTTAGGCTATGGCAACCAAGTATGCTGTGTGCTTTGTTCTGGAAATGTCACTGTACTCTGTGGGATTGCTTTGGATGTGAGACCTAATAAACTGTTATAACTGTATTATATACTGAGGTCTTTGTTTCTTCATTTCACTATAGATGGCAGAGCATGCTATTTTGAACCCCTTTGGTCCAACTGGCCTGCTAATGTCTACCTACCTAACACTTGTAAATATAACTTTGTACAGCAGTACCTTGGTACAGACCATTAATTGTTTGTGGGAAGTGTGTTGAGTACTAAAAATGACAATTACCAAACTATTTTAGCTGGAAAGTCATGAGGCAGTCGACATCAAGTTCTAGTTTTCCTGACTAGTACCAAAGAGTCGACAAGGCCTGGCACAAAATTTTCACACCAGATGCTTTGAGTACCAATCCAGCAAGTATCAAAGCAGACAAGTACCAAGGTATGACTGTATATGGATGCTTTTATTTTATATGCAAGGTTCCTAAAAATAGGTTGCTGGGTCAGAGGTGATGTGCATTTTTTAAATTTTATTTTATTTTAT